CAAGAAGTATATATTTATATAGGCTTATAAACAGATCGAGACTAAGCGCATACCGGAATATTGGCCAGGTTTCGAAGCGATCACGGGAATTATGCCCTTTTTTGCTGGTATTATGCCCTTATATTATGAAGGTATTATGCTTCACGAATCACGAGAGCGGCGCAAATTAGATAGTTATGATAATGTAAGTTGTGTACGCAATTTAGTTGTTTGTGCAAGAAACATCATGACTCATGAGTAATGTAAGTGATAAGATAATGCTGAAACGCGCCCTTTTGGCAGTCAAGCAAGGTAACCTTAACGTGCATATGCGTGGGGTCCGTGTGTTATTGTATAAAAGAGCTGTATGTTGTAAATGTATTCAGATCACGAGATCAGTAGAGAATAGAATTGGGATTAGATTAATCGCTGGAACTGAGTTAGCATTGCCCAATTTAAATACTACTACAAAATTCTAACCAAATTGCAAATTTCAACACGTTATAATGCCGTTTCCTGACCATCAGATTTCTGTCAAACCTTCCCCCCAAAGTCCAGGAAATGGCAATTCAGAGACCCTAAATTCAAAAACTTTCCGAGGGGGCATGCCCCCGGACCCCCCTAGAGAAACCTCGCACCTGCGGCGCCCGGCTTGTGCCTTCGACACTCGTTTATCAAGCGTTACAATGTAGGGGCGCATATTAGTTGAAAGCCCACTGGCCCCCCCAGAAAATTAGTACCCAGCACGCCACTGGGTTTCCAGATTTACGAAACAAGAGTATTACTATCATCATGGCGTCTATATGGGCGATTACCAAGTAATAGATTTCCATGGGGAAAGCAAGAAGGACGCAAAACCTCGGATGTGCGATTTGTACCATTTTATGAAAGGTTGCCAGGATAATATTTTATATCGAGTGGAATACGTTGCAGACGTGACGTTGCCTGTAAATGAAACCTTGAAGATGGCGAATGATATCTTAGCGGATCCGCAAAAATGGCCGAAGTTTAGATTGTTTTGGAACAACTGTGAAACGTTTGCGACATGGTTGAAGACAAAACAGAAAGTTTCTTTTCAAGTGATTGAAGTAATAACTCGTTCAATATCGCCAGTAGCTATTCCATTGGGGTTTCAATGGCAAGTTCTTTGCAAATGTTGTGTTAGCAGGCGGCGCCGCCGAAGCAGACCAGATTCAAAACAATTCTTCACTCGAAAAGAAAGAATAACGATAATTTTACATGTATGCACGCAATATTTAATGCACATGCACAGTTTCACGACATATTTAATGCTTTCATGCACATGCACAGTTTCACGACAACAGCAGCGAACGAAACTTGAGAATGTAAGGTGTTTTAAACTTGAAAGTGCTGTGACATATAAATATCGCACAAAGCAAAGGATAAATCTCTGTACCCTATATGGCATTGTAACATTCAATTGTCAATTAAAATTATTTTTAGTGTGATACTGCGTGGTTTCGGTTTTGGGGAACGTTCATGAATAATCGAGTGTGGATCGAGTGTTAAACCAATCTCGTACCCAGAGTATGCCCGTTCGCAGGTTAGGTGCTGGGCATGACTCTGGAGAAACGGAATACCGGATATCCAATTTTGGATATCCGGTTAGTTGTGCGCATACTCACGCTCAAACCGCAACACTGAATTCGCGCGGGCGTCATTAATTGCAATTATAAATAAAATCGTAGAATTCAGTCGAAAATTTGATACTTTTTACATTGAAATCAATTGAAAAAGATTCATTTTCTTGTGCTAAAAGTTACAGAGTAAATATATATGCGGTGTATATAAACCAATCATTTTTATGGATTTTATACGGTCAAGAAATGGTATCGAGAGACTTCGCAAGAAGGCCGACAGAGGTTTTATACAGGATCTAGATTATTACAAACTATTAGATGTTTTTATAATATTAAAATATGTAGAATGCTTTATGGGCAATTGTGGACCTGTTAGCCTATTTTGTTTATTACAATCACATAGTGATACTTTAATTGGTGCATTGTATTGATATTTAAAATAAGCATGAAAATATTTCCCTCTGTTAATACTCTAGGTCTCTAGCTATATCATTCCTTTGTCCTTTGATTTAACATTGTGCCAGTGCCGTAGCCAGAACGATAATTGGGGGGGGGGGGCACATATTCATATATTCGTGTTCTGCTTTATTAATTTCTTTTGAAATCAATTGTTTTTATGGTATGTGAACACGAATATATGAATATGTGCCCCCCCCCCCCAATTATCGTTCTGGCTACGGCACTGCATTGTACATTGCATTACATTCATACAAACAGTTCCATGGTTATATCTATTTAATTTATTTATTAATTGAGTCATAAAAAATTATGTTGACAATTAATTATGCTTGAAAATAACTTAATTAAATGGAATTATGACATAGTGTTTGAACTTTG